ATACTATATACTGAATGGAGATTTGTACAATATCAACATCAATAATTAATAATCAAATAGATAATATGATATTGATACAGTAGAGTGGACCATCTTCTTGTGATCATTAGAGGTACATTCACTAACTGCTCCTATGATCACCCAAAAAGTATTCTACACATAGCGCCAATAATCACAATATCACAAACGTACAGTCAAGTGGTTCCTCCTCCTATGATCACCAAAGGTACATTCTCTATCTTCCTTTGCGATCACTGGAAAATCTTACTTGTGATGCCAACAAATATTACATGAACATGCCTCGCATACCTCAGTGCCCTAGTTGTGATCAATAATATATTTTATAATGTAAATTCATTTTCAAAATCATGTCGTGCATGTTAAATTTTCAACTATAGATATATGCCGTGCATGTACGTCCACATGTTCATGAATAACATACTCAACCAAAATAAATTCCAACATGTTCTCGAAACACATAATCAATCATCGTGACCAATATAGGATATACAATAAGTTCATTATCAAAGTTATATAAAAGTCACGACAATGATCAATAAAAATATTTCAACGTATACTATGTTCTTATATCGTAGTTGCAAATGAATTTTTACTTACTTTTCGCTTCCCCCTGTGTGTGTTCTCTACAGGGTGCAATTCAATTATCGTTTTCAGTTAAAGTCAACAACCAACATGTATTAACCATCTAATATCAAATATGATCTCAATTTGATAATCTTAACTCACACACAATCTCATACTATGACCACAAATGTTTAAATAATCTAGATAGCATTTGTACTTCAAGTAACCAGCCCTATGACTCCCACTATTTTCACGATCAATGAATGTAAACACCTTCTAATTGGATCATTAATGGCCAAACACTCATTCGAATCAATCTCCAAGCTTTAGATGTGATTAGTGATCATGTAAAGGTGAAACTACGTGAATTTTGAAAATAGACAGTTTCTATCACTATCTGGTTAATTTTCTTACATTTTTTCGCACCGTTAACCATATCCATTCATTTCCAACTTTTTTCACACTTATATAACATGTATATGAATGTAACAATGTAACATATCAAACGCATTGTAAATCATATTTCGCGACAAAATGACTTGTTATTAAAGATATATCACTACAAGCATGTGTTAATCCAAAATATAACAGATAACAATATCTTTAACATAATATTTGCAACAAACATTTTTCTCGCAAAACTTTAATGGAATAATCGTTGCAACAAACTAACTTGTCGCCTTTTCGATTTTTCTTGACTTATATGCTTTACGACGACATTATGATGACAAATATCTTGTTACTATTTCGTACTTTTTACGTCAAACAAATAATATTGCGAGTTTGTTCATGTGATGAATAAACGAACGATGTCGCAGAATACATTCCGTGAATCATATAGCGCGATAACCCCTTCAACAAACATATTGTCGTCGCGAAATTATTTATATAACAAAATCTCTATATATGTGACAACATTTTTTTGTTGCTACTTTGATATTTTGTCATAGTGCTTTTTAGAACGTGGAATCAAGAATTTCACTATGGCTATTGTGCATTTCACTTGAATTAACATGCCACAAATTAGATTCTAACCTATTCAAAGTCATTTCTATACTTCTAACTCTTATATAAAAACATGCATATTGATAAATACATTTTATACTCAAGGTATCATCCAAAATCAAAGGTTAAAGGTAGAATCCAGCAACAATACAATTTATGTCCTAGGTGATTTCACTCAATTTACTTCAACCAACTTTTTGTAATAACAACACCCCAACATAATATCAAACAATTTCAAAATTCGGCCCCAAATCGGAAATCGCCAAACCTAAACACCAAATTGTTTACCTGAAAATTCCAAAATGGCAACCCCAAAATCACTAGAATCCCCAAATTGTGCCAAAATGGAGACTATCTCCACCCCGCTCTAAGGGACAAGTGCTGATTGTTATCCCATGGCTAACATTGAGCATCAATCTACATGTATTTGTCCTTTCTTTGATTCACAAATCTTCAAATGCATATTTGGGGTTTTTTTTTCTTTTATATTCAAAATGGAGGCAAGCACTTGGTTAGAGGCACGAACTGGCCCCGAACTGAGGCCCAAACAAGTCATAAACTAAGCCACAAACCAATTGTGAAATCAAGCGCGAACTGGGTAAGGGATTTGATTTTTGGGAGTAGGCAATTTTCGTTTGGGTTGCGATTTACAAGCAATTTGGTGTTTGGGGTAGGAGATTTCCAATTTGGGACCGAATTACATGCAACTTACCGGCGAGGGGGGCTTGGAGATTTCTCAATTTGTGAGCAAAATAAGGGGTTGTTATCTTCGTATTTCAGTTTTGTATTTTTAGTTTTGAATTCGTTTTGGGTTTTGTGTTTTGAGTATCCATTTTGAGATTGTTGAAAATGTATTCTTTTTGTCATTTTTAAAAAAAATTTTGAAAAATAAAAAATCTCAAAATGCATTTACTTTCTCCCCTGAATTTTCTTACTCGTCTATCTCTCTCTCTCTTCTTCCCTCCTCTCTGTAACCTGCCAGAACCTCATCCTCCGGCCACCATCTTCATCGTTAAGGTGATGCTGTGGTTGTAGCTGTGGTGGTGGTTCCGGCGATGGTGGTGGTTGGGGTGATGTTGCGACAACGGCGACGATTGGTGGTGTTTTTGCAAGCGGCAATGGTAGTGGCGACGGCGGTAGTTGGTGGTGTTTTGCAGGCGGCAATGGTGGTTGTTGGGGGTGATAGTAATTGAAAATAATGAAAACGCGTTTTTAAAATTTTGGCCAAGTTATAACTGAAAACACCAAAAAAGACAATAAAACGACAATTGTTTTGGGTTTTTTCTTTGTAAATTTTAAACATGTCTTCAAAAACGCGTTTTCACTGTTTTGAAAAATCGAAAAAAGAAAACGACTTGAAAATGGCAACAAGAACAAGCCCTAAGGGTTTGGACTCCTTGTTTTGCACGATTTCAGACTTTAAATTCTTTTTTGTTTTTATTGTTAAAAACTTGTTTTAGCAAAGCCAACTTAAGAAAAATAATCCACCTCATCAGCAACTTTTTTACTTGGCAATGAACTTGTAGACAATCGTGTCACGTCACATGTTCCATTAGACATGTCATAAAAACAGTCAAATTTTGCAAGCTGATTTTAGTCCCAATTTGCAAAGTTCAGTGACTAACGAGGAAAATTTTAAGTTGAATGACTCCGTAATAACTATTTAGGGAATTAACCCACCTGACATGACTAACCCTTGTACACATTTGATAATATGCATGCATGTACAAGTCACTGGTCATATGTAGTCGGCAGTCAATATTCGGAAAAGTCAAAAATTATATTTTTTTATACAAATACGATTAGTATTTTAACTTATTAACTGTGTGATGGTTATCCTATTAATGTAGTGAATCGTATTAGGTTTAACAATATAAAATTTACACTAAAAAGTTGTAATTAAAAATAAATAAAGGCTACTCTTTCAAACTTGATAATTGACAAATAGTCATTGTAATTTCAAAATTGAACAAAGTGGGATTACCGACAAGTTCTTATTATATTAGGTCCATGATTGGCTAAATCTTAAAAAATTTCTTGTAATTAAATTTACTTAAATAAATAAATAAATTTCTATTGGTAAATTATAATTAATAAATTATTCGTTTTAAGCGTAACTCAAATCTTACATTTACTATCAAAATAAACAAATTTTGCTTATAAGTAAAGAAAAGTAATTTATCGATACGTAACTTTCTTAAAAACAAAAGTTGTTTATTTAATGTTAACCAAACATGGTATAGGTCAGGCTCCAAAAGTCCAAAAACCTGCGCTCGACTCTTTTTAAAATATCTATATAATATTTGAAAAACTTTACTCGTGCTAATACTCCAAAGATGTTGTCAAATCTGGGTTCTATATTCTTGTGGAAATTAATTAAATTATGATCTTTCAAGTGAACTTATTCCAATTAACCAACGCAATTGTTGATAGAAAGTTGAAGATTCGGGCGTCCACCAACCCATCACATATGGAATGGAGTTTTGAGTTGAAAATATATTATTGAAATTATAAAAGTTACTAGAATTGTCATTTAGAGTTTTTGACGGAAATCGTACCAATGATATTTAAAAAAACAATTAAGTTATTTGTACAACTCGTTGTTGACGACCTTTGTTATCAAAATTCGAGCCGTTGATTTAAAAACTATTTTTTAGTAGATGAATATAATGATGTCAAGTTGTCAATCAAAGTTATCAGCTAAGGTTGTACAAATAGCTCAATTCTTTAAAAAAATTTATGTGCTTTATTGTTCTCTTGAAGTTTCAATATTTTTTTTTTCAAAATTAGGTATTATGTTATCATAGATGACTAGTTTAGTAACACTAACGGTGTTGGTATATTGTGAACTTTAAACAAGAAAAGTAAACTAAAATGATATTTCGAAAATAAGTGCTTAGCTTTAAACGTCTCCATGTTTCAATTTTATGCCAAATAGTCCCCACTAACAGTGTGCACTAAAAATAAGTGTTTAAATTAAATGAAACGATCAAATCATCTTCTTTCTCTGATTCTCTCCTACCCCCAACTCTAACGGGCACATAACATTGCAATTATCACTCATCCATAGTTTAAAATCTCGCCATTGATCGAGTTAAGATTCAAGTTCAACATAGCAAATAGCATAACGTTATTTTAAAAGCGATATCACTTGTAATGTACTGTAACCTATTATATCTAGCTGTGAAGACAAAAAATAAAATAATTGGAGACAAGGACTTAATTTATCAAATGTTGAGGACCGCTACCGTAATTTCCAAAAGTTTAAAGATTAATTTAAAGAAACTTTGATTAATAAAATTAAACAAATTAAGGGGAAAAGAGATATAAGAAAAAGGCCATTAAGGCGAATAACACGCGGTAAGTGTGGCCCCAATGCCCAGCGCGACTAGCTCTACCCGTCTATAAATATGCTTCCTAAACCTTCGCTTCAACGCTCATCCCCATCCATCATAAACACAACAACCACAACCACCGTTAACGCCGTCGCCTCCACCACCCCACGGAGCCAACTCCACTCTCCCTCGCCCTTGTCGCCTGGGAGTTTAAAACTAGATTCATTAATATCAATGGATGTTCGTCGGAGACAAACCAAGATGGGTCAGTCTGTCAAAACTGCCGCCGGCGAACCACCCATGAAACCCCAGAACCACCCTCCCACAGCCTCCGATGCCCTTCCTCTCCCTCTTTATCTCACCAATGGACTCTTCTTTACCATGTTTTTCTCCGTCATGTACTTCCTTCTCACAAGGTGGCGTGAAAAGATCCGTAACTCCACTCCTCTCCACGTTGTTACGCTATCCGAGTTAGCCGCCTTGATTTCTCTGTTGGCCTCTATCATTTACCTCATAGGATTTTTCGGCATAGACTTTGTTCAGTCTGTCATTTACAGGTCAAACGAGGATGCATGGGACGTAGAAGATGAAGAAGATGAGAAATTCATTATCGAGGAAGACAGTCGCATGGGGACATCCCCGGCCACCACTCTCGGTTGTGCCGTTCCGGTTGTCCCTATTGTCCCAGCGCAACCCGCCAAGGTGTCGGTGACTGAAAAGCCTGCACCTATAATTACTCCACAATCATCGGAGGAGGATGAACAGATTGTAAAATCTGTAGTGGAAGGGAAGACTCCATCATACTCTTTGGAATCAAAGCTTGGAGACTGCAAAAGGGCAGCTTCCATTCGTAGAGAGGCATTGCAGAGAATTACAGGGAAGTCACTAGAGGGTTTGCCTCTTGAGGGTTTCGACTACGAGTCGATTCTTGGGCAGTGCTGCGAGATGCCAGTGGGGTACGTTCAGATTCCGGTGGGGATAGTTGGGCCTTTATTCCTTAACGGTACGGAGTACATGGTGCCAATGGCCACGACGGAGGGGTGTTTGGTGGCCAGTACCAATAGGGGCTGCAAGGCCATCTATGCATCAGGCGGCGCCACCGGCACTTTGTTCAAAGATGGGATGACTAGAGCTCCGGTGGTGAGGTTCGAAACCGCCAAGAGGGCCGCGGAGTTGAAGTTTTACTTGGAGAATCCATTGAATCATGAGACTCTCTCTGTTGTCTTCAACAAGTGAGTATTTTCTTCCACTCCATCATCTTGTTTATTTGTTATTTACAGTAAATTCTTCAAATAAATACTATTGATTATGCGTTTTATCTGTATAGATATCCTTCCATTATTAATTTTGCCTAGGTCGCCACGCAACAATTGCATGCACTCTGATTTGATCAGAATAACCAATCCATTGACATGATACTCATGTTCGACAATTTTTATGTTGTCGGATACTATGACGGAATCATATTTGAACTATGTCAGGCTCATAACATATTCTTTTCTTGTTTATACCACAGAAATCTTCTTTTTCTTGTCATTTTCCCTATTAATTTATTCTCTTGGTTAGAGAATTTTGATGATTGGTAACGTTGTGATTGATGAGAGTTTAATGTTCAAAAGTCCAAAAAGAACGAATAATTCTATTGGGGTTATAACTTCGATTTAGGTGGTGCTATATGATAAGTTAAATGAAGTGACATATCATTTAATGTCACGTTAACGCTATTTAAATTATGGTTGTATATCAAATAGCATTAGTCAAAAAGATAAGTTAAATGAAGTGACATATCATTTAATGTCACGTTAACGCTATTTAAATTATGGTTGTATCTCAAATAGCATTAGTCAAAAAGACCAGTGATAATTTGCTTTGCATTCTTACTTTCTGGCTTTGACTTGTATTTAATGCTTACATGAATGTAACCATTATTTCGGTGGGGTTGGTGAGATCACTTCGAAATAATGTTCAAAGGGACAGTTATGACAATTTGCTTTCCTTTTCACTTGAGACTTTGACTTATTTTTTTAGCTGTTCATACACGGGTCAATGTAAGTACTTTTCAAAATATGTTCACACGACAATTTCTTTTCTTGATCTTAATATTGTCGAGTGCGTATCATATATTTTTTAGGCACCTGTATTTCTTTTGTATTTAGTACATAAGTAGCATGTCGTTAAAATTAATGTTTATTTTAATTGTGGCACGTGCAGATCAAGCAGATTTGGCAGGCTACAAGGTATTCAATGTGCAATAGCAGGGAAGAATCTGTACATTAGATTCACCTGCAGCACTGGTGATGCAATGGGGATGAACATGGTTTCCAAGGGAGTGCAAAATGTTCTTGATTATCTTGGGAATGATTTTCCTGATATGGATGTTATTGGCATATCTGGTATAAACCACATCTCACCTTCACTCATTTATTTCCTGTAATTTTTAATTATCTAATACCCGTTGGATGAACGAGTAGAGCCTCTTTTTTACTGTACAATTCATTTTTTCCAGTATTGAGATGTGCATTAAACGAATACTTAAATTTTCACAGGAAACTTTTGCTCTGACAAAAAGCCAGCAGCAGTGAACTGGATCGAAGGGCGTGGCAAGTCAGTTGTTTGCGAGGCAATTATCAAGGAAGATATTGTAACAAAGGTTTTGAAGACCAATGTTGCTGCATTAGTAGAGCTCAATATGCTTAAAAACCTTACTGGTTCAGCCATTGCTGGAGCTCTTGGTGGGTTCAACGCACATGCTAGCAACATTGTATCTGCAGTATTCTTAGCAACCGGGCAGGATCCGGCACAAAATATCGAGAGCTCTCACTGCATCACTATGATGGAGGCGGTAAACGGTGGAAAAGACCTTCATGTTTCTGTTACCATGCCCTCCATTGAGGTAACTAAATTTCATCATATTAATTAGACCATAAAGTTAGAAATCAGATACAATACAGTCTGGATTTTGGGTCCCCACTAAATTTTGCGATATAAATCAGGTGGGCACAGTCGGAGGTGGAACTCAACTTGCATCTCAATCAGCTTGCTTGAACTTGCTAGGAGTAAAGGGTGCAAGCAAAGAGTCAGCAGGGGCAAACGCAAGGCTGTTGGCGACAATTGTAGCTGGTTCTGTTCTTGCTGGGGAACTATCTTTAATGTCTGCTATTGCAGCTGGACAACTTGTAAAGAGTCACATGAAATACAATAGATCCAGCAAGGATGTTACCAAAATTTCCTCGTAAGGGAAGGCCCACAATTAGATCAATGCAAAACAATGTATTCCCAAAAATCAAACATAAATTGTGTAAAACAATGCAAGTCGAATAAGTTCTAGGTAGTGAGTGTCGAAATTAAGGAATAAAAAAGAAGGTAAAGGGGGGGCAGAACGGAGGAGAAGCAAGGACAAGTAACAAGCCAAGAAAATAAAAAGATACTAAAAATTTGGTTTCTCGTGCTCCATGGATCATTGCCAACCATCACCATAAACAATGGCTACATTTGGGTGCCCTTTGTTTTCTGCAACTCTTTACATTTGTTATGTGTTATTAGTTTGTACCCTTTGTATCTACAATATATATGTATAATATCTTTACTCAGAATAATAAATGTATCGATTTGTTCAAGAAACACTGAATTTGTAATCCAAACTCAAATTATTGTCTGAAAGTCTGATTTTACGGTATCAAAGTTTCCTTAACTGACTACTTTGAATAGTTACTGTTGACCCCGAAAAACGTAAAGCTTACGTGGACAACAGATGTCGGGCCCATTCACACCAACTCAAGCAAATTCCGGCACGTTTTGACCGAAGTACCGATAAGAAGTGGGATAAACTTGAAAGCAAGAGCTACTTCACGGCGTGAGACAAAAGTGTTCAAGCACTGATGGGTGGAACAAAGATGATTGCGCTAACAACAATCACCAATTGAATACCAAAGTAAACCAATAAAAAGACCAAACTCATGCGTATGGAATAGGCTAGATGATATGTTTAGAATTTGCAAGATCACTTGTATTATTAAGGATCAAGGATTCAAGAGTCTAAAGTTCAAGAATCCAACCCTTTACATTTACAAGGATGGCCTACTTATAGTGCTTCGGCCGACTTAGTGTCCGTTGATCAAAACCATGTGGCCTTATCTCCTTGACCGAGGCTTCACATCATTGTCTATCAAACAATAAATACACTAACAATGGATCAGCCGCCATATACAATAGGCTGACACACCTGGCATTCTTATTACAAACGTTACATAGATCATTTCTAAAGATTATCTAAGGATCTTGGAAGAGACAGTTTCAGCTTCAGGTGAATTAAGGGTCTCGGAGGAATGTTCTCCATGTGAAGAACTTCGGCTTCTTCCATCTTTTAAACAGCGTTTCGAATTAGCGCACTTCAGGCAGTGCTTCAGCTTAAGAGTTTCACTCTCATATGATTTCTTCACTTTTGACCATTGGGTCTTTGTTGATTTTTTTGCCCATGTGGTTTGCTACGTGGCAATTTGACTTGAGCTTCGGTGGCGAAGCGTAACAATAGTCCCCCAAGTCTAGGCGTGATTACTTATATGATGCATGGACTTGTATATAGATATATAAAAATTTGTTAGGGGATAGTTTTTACCATATCACAATAGTCCCCCAAGTCTAAGCAGAAACATTTACATTATAGTTAGAATTTACATGCACATGACTTGTGCAAAATGCCTGCTGGTGTTGTTCGAAATTACATACTTTGAGATATTTCTCTTTCCGGAAAAATTCTAAAGAGTGTCGGCGAAGGGAATTAAGTTCAAGGTTGTATCGTCCGAAATGCCTTTGCACATTCGAAGCCTTATCCGAACTGGTTGATGAGAAGTGGCTCTGACCCTTGTTAGGTCATCACTTTGCTAATTACAAGGAGCCTAATTTTAAAACAGTTGGGGGACACGAGGAGTCCTGAATTATTGTGCCCAAATGATTTGCTATCTTTGCACGTTTTCAAGAAAAAAACAGTTGAAGTGGTTCAACTTTCCATGCACGCAACTGTCGCATTAAATGTGCAATGATAGATGTCGTGCACATGTCTAGCGAAGTTCAGGTGCATGAGAGCTCATGAGGCAGGCTGTAACGGACCTCCCGTTCGGCCCTTGAGGTTCCAGGGACCCCCAAGGCAGCTTACCCCACACATGCGACCGGCAAACTTAGATATGCAACATAAGCACAACATAGGGATAGAAAGCATGCCATCTAAACTTGTTAAAGGGATATTGTCAGTGCACTTTCGAGAAATATAGCAATAAACCCGCAATAAGTTATCTTACCATGCCACATAGGTAGAGGAGTTCTCCATGCTCGTGAATCACTCCCCCACTCAATCCGCTAACGTCCTCGGAGCGGACATGTGCNCTTGAACAATTATATAAGTTTAGGGACTAAATTATAAAGTTTCATAGTTGGTTGGTTAATTTAGGGTTTGGGGTTTCATGTTTAGAACGACATCCAACGGCTGGGATTGCAAGCCTTTGCCTATAAAAGGCGTAGCCATGACAGAAAATCACTGCCTTTCATGCATTCATCACTGATATTTCTCAAAACTCCAAGTTTTTTTCTTCTTTCTTCTTTGTTAGGTTTATATTTTGTATTCGTGATTCTGTAAATAAATTGACCAACTTGAACAATTATATAAGTTTAGAGACTAGATTGTAAAGTTTTATAGTTGGTAGGTTAGCTTAGGGTTTTGGGTTTCATGTTTAGAACAAGAATGATTCAAGCCGATTTTTCGCTAGCTGCTCGCCGGAGTGATGCTCGAGCGACTAAAACAGAGACTATCTCACTCGACCTTCGCCCTAGTGTCACTCGAGCGACAGACCGTTTGCTCAAGCGAAACAGCCTTATCGCTCAAGCGACGTATTATTCGGCCATACCTAATTTTCTATTTTCGAGACTTTTACTTGGCTCATACAACCTATTTCTTCCAACCTATATATTGAGGCGCCGCACTTCCTACGAAAAAGAAGTTGAACACCATATTATTCAGAGAGAATACATGTTTTACAAGAATTAAAGTTCAATCCTTCCATTATTCATGTGTCAATCATTGTGAAAACAACAACGAGCCAAATCAAACGCTGGATTACATTCTTTGCTTGGGTCTGCAGCAAGATTGTGTCGTCAACTGTGCTGCCTTAAATATTAAGGGAGAATCTGAAGAATGGAGAGTTCTTTGGGAAGATCTGCAGGAGATAAACTGCGTAAAGAGTCAGAATTGGAGTTCGTGCACTCATTCCAGGAGGACTGCTTTACAAAGAAGAGCCGGGTTTGGTGTTCATGTGCACATTCCAGAAGGGCTACTTCTTACTTCAGACAGGAGATTAGAAAGCTTGTATTGTCAACTTTGTTGGTGGTCTGTAAGTGTATTATCAGTTTATAGTGGCTTTGACTGGCAAAGCGCCCGAAGTTTTTCCACGTTTGGTTTCTCCACGAACAATTCTGATATTGTTTACTGCTTTATTTATTGTTGTGATATAACAGTGGTATTCAAAGATAGGCTAAATTGGATTGTTTGACTAATCACCTAGACATAATTAATGTTTGACATGTTGCTAATTAATTATATTGATAATTTCACATTTACACCTAATCACCCCACATCTAGGTGTAGTTGGGTCTAATCCTGCGTTTTTAATTCTTGTATTTGTAACTTTTGGTGGTTTTTCCTTCAATGTTCTTCAGTTAAACTCGTGTCTTTTTCTTTTTTAACTTAAGAATCTAAACCAGTGGCACTTTCCAATTCTGCTGTGGGGGACGTAGATATTAGTGAAGTAGCTATTGAAATGGAGGTTGAAATCACTAGCACGACAGACCTGGTCCGAGCTATTCAGGCTGGACGAAGTGTTCTGCCTTCTGGGATGGATAGGAAGGTCCTACTTCACTTCTAGCCCATTCTCACCTTTCATGCCTGTTTTTAGGCAGAGAGATCTGAGGCGCTTCATCGTCAATAGGTTCGTCTCATCTTTCGAACTGAAGAGGCTCATGTTACTTATTTCTAGGCACAGGAAAAGGTCGATCCTTCCTATTTCTAAGCACCCCTAGCCTCAGCCTATCGAAGACGCGTACATGAATGGAAAATTGAATGGAGCCTCATTAGGTCATTCGGAGGCGTAATTGGTAGATGTATCAACTTCAATCTCCCTTTCCTGGGGGGCTTCCATCCTTGTGTGATGTTGGTATCCAGCCATTTGGTTTTGAACTTCCTCTTCTTCGTGGTAGCGCCTTTGTGAAAGGGAATAGAATACACTCCCGAGGGCTGCATGCTCAAGAACTAGGTGTCCTCCTTAGCCCCGCATGCTCATCAGCAGTTCATGCATGGCCATGTTATGCTGAGTTGTGTTCCTCATATTGGCAGCCATTGTGGCCACTTCCCTAGTAAGTCTTGCTACTACCCTACCCCCGTCCCTTGACCTGGCGTGAGTGGGCCCGACATCTGTTGTCCATGTAAGTGTCACATTTTTCTAGGTCAACATATTGACGCCGTCTGTAGGAAACCATACATTTTAACCACGAAAGTCTCGTGGGAAGAAGCCAGTTGTAAGCAAA